AAACTAAATTTTCAGTGACCATTTGAACCCCACTCGGTCGCGACAGATGGCCACCCCTTTCTGAGCCTGGTTCTGTCGGAGGTTTCTTCCTGTTAAAAGGGAGTTTTCCTCCCCGCCGTCGCCAAGTGCTTGCTCATAGGGGATTTTGGGGCTTTGTTAAAACAACCACTGATAAGTTCAGTGGTATCAAATTTAGGACTCAGCAATTATGTAAATGGATGGTTCGTCATCAAGTTAGGAATCATTCATGTAAAACATATTCGCGAGTCATATTTAGTTGTGTATAAATATGAATTCTGGGACACTAAGGCCAAACAAAGAGTAATTTGTACAATTGGGGAAAAAAAATAATTAAAAAAATTGGAAGAAATACATGTGTCATTGTTTCATGTAGATTTCAAGTAGCACACCATTTGATGTCATCATATTTTTGTTGCATTTGCAGTGCCTGTGTTAAATTCTTATGATTTTTTTCATTTGAGGAGTATATCTTTCTGCCTTGCTTCATATATTTACTGTTTCTTGGCTAGCTTTAGTCATGCTAACATCAACACAGGTAGAAACAGATACACATCAGAGAATCAAATGGAAAATGAAAAAAATCAAAATATAATTAAGTTTCAGATTACTAAAGCTATCAATGGATCCACCGTCCCCATAGTGAAAACACATTTATATTATGTTCAAGTCAGTTTTTATCCAATTTTAAAACTATAACATTCAATAATGTCTATTTTTAGTTTATTTTGTCAATACATTTTTTTAGGATTTTCAGAAAAACTACCATTATACATAGTTTGTACTTACTAATTTCACTAAGTAACATTTTATTTGTGTAGCACTTTTCAACATAAAAATCACAACGTGCTTTACTGAGAAACTAAAACATAAAAACCACAATTAACCACAAGCGAGTTTTAAAAGATCAGTTTTTAGCTGTTTTTTTTTTAAAAGAGATCAGTGAGTCCCTAGATCCCAAGCTCAAAGGGAGAGAGTTCCAGACTCTGGGGGCCACAGTTTCAAAAGCTCTGTCACCTTTTGTTTTCAGCCTCATATAATGGACAACCAGCAAGCCCTGATCACATGATCTCAGGGACCTGCTGGCGATGTATGGATATTAAAGATCTCTGATATATGTTGGTGCCTGTTCATCCAGAGCCTTTAATGTTAAAGTCATATTCTTAAAGCAGACTCTGAATTTAATGAGGAGCCAGTGCAGCTGGATCAACAGGTGTGTGACATGAGAGTACTTGAAAGACAAGGTCAGAAGCCTTGCAGGAGCATTCTGAACACCCTGCAGACGTTCCCAGGAGGCATTACATAAACAAGTGAACAAAGAATTACAATAGTCCAAACGAGATGAAGGAAATGCGTGTATGACAATTTTGAGTTCTGAGCACAATGGATGGACACACAATGGACACAATGGATTCAGCTTAGCAATGTTTCTTAAAATATAATAACAGGAGCAAACCAGAGATTTAACATGAACGTCCAAAGTCAGAGCTGAGTCAAAGTATACTCCAAGATCCCTAGTAGAGGATTTGGCAAATGTAGCAAGAGGACCTACATTTTCCATAACCTTGGGCACAAATTTATCGGAAGCACAAAGAAGGACTTTGGTTTTCTCCTCATTAAGTTGAAGAAAGTTATCAGCCATCCAACCTCTAATGGACTCTATGCGCCTATGCAAAGTAGTTTGGAAACATCTTGGGGCTTAAAGGAGATATGCAACTGAATATTATCTGTATAGTAGTGATAAGAAATGTCCTTAAGAGTGCTCAGAAGGTGCTGAAGAGGAAGCAATTACAACAACAACAATAAACGTCCCAAACAGG